GCCTGGCAAATTTAACGAAAAAAACTGTCTGAAAAATGCCAGTTTTTTAGTTGAATTACCTAATGGCAACAAAAGTCGTATTATAAAATTCAGGGTGGAGCGCTACTATAAGGCAAAATTTCACTTTTGCAACAGAGAGTTTTAATAGTGAAAAAAATATGCTATGGTTGATTAAATAAACATCGCCTCGAAACCATTTTGCAAAAGAATTATATCTTCTACCCTCTACAAATCTCCTACTTTCGCCCTTTGCCACTTTGTGTACTGCACTAGAACATACCATGTATGACCTCCATTGGAATCCCGTCAACTGAATTCAATCTGCTGGCAAGTGGTATCAGTCTGCTAACAGGTGCCTTTAGGTGAATAAAAAAAGTCACACTCCTTGTTATCATCAGCAGTTTAGAGTTGAAAATGAGTGGCTCTAAGAAAATATCAACCAGGAGATCGGTGGAGTATCCTCATGATTTCCGGAAAATAACCAACAATTCCATGACAGGTATACCTCAGAATATTCAGACATTCATTGTCGAGACGAATTGATGACTATTTCGTCAAAGTCAGAACTTTGCAAGCATATTTCAAAAATCTGATATAAGTTCTTGTAAATGAACAATTCTAGACAAACAGTTCCTCCTCACTACAAAAAGTACCAGCTCAAGAAAATATTGCACGACCGATCAGAGCAAACAAGAACAGAATAGAAACATGGTCATGGGCAATGTTGATACAGAAGAAATGAAGAAATTGCAAAAAAACTGCACAGAAGAGAAAAGTCAAACAAATATGAAATGTCCTGACAATCTACGAAAGATGTTTGCAAGCAAAAAGTTCATAAGTTCGACGATGTAAATGCAAATACTCCAACTGCTTCGAAAGAAGATCTGTGTGTGAGAAAAATGATCCAGATTGCTTCGAACTGAGAACATTCGCTCGAGTTTGTGATCGATATGACTTGTTAGACAGATCCGCAGCTGTGATAGCATCAGATCTTCTGAAGGACGCTGGAATCATCACAGAGGTAGATGAAGTTAATATTGTAGATAAAAGTGGAGTCAGGAGAGTAAGGAAAAGAAAAAGGCACTCTTTGCAAGAGAAAGTGTTGAGAAGTCAATAAGACCTATCTTCTTTGACGGTAGAGAAGATAAAACTTTGGCTCAAGAAAAAGGTATAGAGCGAGGTATAGAGTTATAACCTTTGAAGCAACTGGTAGTAATTTGCCGGATGTAGTCATTTCAGAATTGCAAACCGATCGATACTTGAAGTTGATTGATACTGAAAATTTATAACAGAACAAATGTTCGAGAACTAGCGTTGAGACGCTTACTGAAGCTCAGAAGAGACCTGTGTCAAAACATTCGTTATTCCTGGGTAAACTTCGATCGAGTGATTAAATATAATAAACCTCATTGATTGGCAAGCTATTGAAATAACAGCTCTACCTATTCTGATAGATCTGAAGAAAAATACGATTTCAATAAAGAAACAAATATTAGTACACTTCGTCTTCTTCTTGTTCATACTCAGGCGGTTGCGAGGTGTGTCAAGTTAGTAACTGCATCTTCTCAGAGTGTGATTGCCTCCGAAGCTCGAGATGGCCTCATTCAAGCCAATCTCGAATAAAGAGCTGCAATGCCAACCTTGAACACGAAAAAATAATTCAATCAATGAGAATCTTGAGGTAGCATTTCCACGCCTATACAAAACGGTGGGTAAAGGGTAAAGGATACATCACAATTCACTAGAAAAAAATTAAGTTGATGATTGACCTACAGTTAGTACTTTTTTTCACTATCAGAAATCAATATATAGAAGTTGTTGAAAAGGAATATTCTCAGATAAATTATGAACATACAAAAATGGATATATATTTATATAAAGCAATACATTGAGAATTCGCATTCTCTATGTGATGAGAATATTTACTCTTTTTCAGTTAATTCAATAGAAAACAACTACTTTCCTGGCTATATGCCACGACGAACATTGAATTATATCTATTGAACATACACGATAAGAGTTTGAAAATAAAATATAAAAATTTCTGAAATTGAGAATTTGCATTCTCCTTCAGACAAAAATATGTATATACACACATCATTCTAAATATTCAACAGGAAACAACTACTTTCCTGGCTATTTGCCACGTCGAACATTGAATTATATCTGATGAACATTCAAAAGGGGGAACATGAAAAATAGAATAGAAGTTGATTCTCAACCTGATCCAAGGGTGCGTAGAGAGCAGAAGGGATGATAATTTTATGTTCAAAAAAATCAAGGTAACAATTAAACTACAGTAACAACTTTTTTACTCTATTAGTATTAGAACAAATTATAAAGAGTTTGATTTTTTCCCTCCACCCTATTATAAATGCCAAGTTTACTTGGACTAAAAAAAAAAGTCAGAGTGTAATTCGGTAAGACAATTTGATTCATCAAACATTTGTATACATTCTCAGCGCATTCAGGATCACCACTGAAATTGCTACAACTTCGCCAATCCGACAGATTCTCTAACTCCCTCATGCACTCATAGTTAGCGAGATGCCATTGCCAAACGCCATAAGCAAAAATACTGTCTGTAGGTTAATCGAGGAGGTGGTATATTCATTTTACTTGATTCTTTGGGATTTTCTCTCCTCGTTTCTACAAAATAAAAATATTCGTATTATTTCAATATATTTGTAGTGGGACAAATCGGATGATTTGCCCCAAAATGTCACTGCGTTCGAAAAATTTTTCGATCAGGGAGTCTAAAAGAAAAATCCAGTAGCTTGTCAGTGACAATTTGTTTGAATAAATGTTTGGAGAAAAGAAATATAGATATATTGAAGAAATATCGAATTTTTACTTATCATTGGACGTTTCGGGACCGAATCTGTATTTATAGTATACCTTGTATTTGTGGAAAGTATTATACAGGTGAAACGAAAAGACCTCTCTCAGTAAGGAATGAAGAACACAAGTACAATATCAAGAAAAGACATATTGATAAATCGGAACTAACTGAACATATCCTTACTGAAGATGGACAATATGTGGCAGAGTGGAATAATATAAAAATCATAGGAAAGGAAGATAATAACCAAAAAAGAAAAATCAAGGAATCCGCTTGCATTCTTCTAAACGAAGACAATAGCATTGCTTCCCGTTCAGTTGATATAGATAGAACATGGTATTCACTACTGAAAACTGAACATGAAAATGGTAGATTCAAGATCAATTAATGAAAACATCCTGTAACTCATTTGTAGACTAAAATCACTCATTCACATAGTGGAAGGAGAAGATGGTGTGCCTACGCGCATATTATGTGACGTCATCTGGGATACCAATATCAGCTGATAATCACAGACAGATACCGTGCCATGGGCGTGCGCAATGAATTCAATCATGTTTATTGAAATTTCTATAAGTTTTTCGATCTGTTTAGAAATAATTCAATTCATATAAACAGGTACTTATTCCTTCTATTTTACTATTTCATTGATTATGGAAATTGTGATCTTTAGGTAATTCGCAATCGCAAATAGCAAATACTTACGAATTATCATGCATTGCCAATCTGAATCATCCACTACTGCATGTGTCGATTCTGACAGATTAAAATTCAGCAGTTAACGATGTTGACGTTGCTTCTGCTCCGACATCGACAACACGAGTATCAATTTTTGCCGTTTTGTTATTCAAATCTTTGCTGCAATTTATATTTTGTGAGAAATTAATAGATTTGAATTCATTTTCAATTATTTCTGACTTGATATTCGGAAGATGTTCTGTAGGAATGACATCTTGTTTCAAATATTCGTGATTTTTTGGAGATGTGTAATTCAAGAACCGTACTTTCGCGCTTGTTTGGGAACATTGTGCATGGAAATGTTTTGAAGAAATACGTGCTGTAATATGAATGTGATGATAATATGATTAATTCGCTCCCGAAACGTTCAAAGATAAGTAAAAAATCGATATTTCTTCAATATATCTATATTTCTTTCCTTCAAACATGTATTCAAACAAATTGTCACCGACAAGCTACTGGATTTTTCTTTAGACTCCCTGATAGAAAAATTTGTTGAACGCAGTGACATTTTGGGGCAAATCATCTGATTTGTACCACTACAAATATATTGAAATAATACGAATATTTTTACGAGGAGAAAATCCCAAAGAATCAAGTAAAAGGACCTCGAAAATGACCATGAGCATATTATATATCATTATACTGTGTTCAAAACTGAAAATACAATGAGATCAATTCTAATCCAAACAAAGCCGAAAAATGAAGAACATCGTCAAAAAATTGTATTTACAGTATACATTGTGTTTGTGGAAAGTTTTATACAGTTGAAACCAAGAGACCTCTTTCAGTAAGAACATAGGAACATAAGTACAATATAAAGAAAAGACACATCGATAAATCGAAACTAGCTGAACATATCCTTACTGAAGACGGACAACATATGACAGAGTTGAATAATATTGAAATCATTGGAAACGAAGATAACCAAAAGGGAAAAATCAAGGAATCTGCTTGCATTCTTCTGAACGGAGGCAATAGCATTGCTTCTTATTCAGTTGATATAGACAGAGCATGGTATTCACTACTAAAATCTGAACATGAAAATGGTAAATTCAAGATTAATTAATGAAAACATCCTGTAACTCATTTGATTGCCAAGGTCACCAATTGTCAATGAAAACTGAAAAGCTTCGACAAATACGACTTTGCTATTGAAATAATCATATTTTATGTTGAAAACGGGAGCAGAATCGGTCCCGAAACGTCCAAAGATAAGTGAAAATTTGATATTTTTTCTTTAAACCTTTATTTCTCTTCTCCAAACTTTTTTCATTGCAAATTGTTACTGACAAGCTAGTGAATTTTTCTTTCATGCTCTCTGATAAGAAAATTCTTTAAACGCAGTGACATATTGAAATAATATTCATATTTTTATTTTATAGAAACGAGGAAAGAAAATCCCAACTCCTCGATTAACCTACAGACAGTATTTACCATAAGCATACCTCGACAATCTTATCCCGAAACAGCCCGACATTCAAACGCAACCATACTCGTACCACACGGCCGTTTCCTTGGCACTCCGGCCGCCCTTACTATCCTTCTCCCCCTCTTTCTCCCCCTCTTCGCAGGGTCTATCCACCTGTTGCGCCACCCTGGGCGGTCCATCCGTCTGTTGCGCCACCCTGGGCGGCTCACCGATTACCGTCGATATCTTGTTGTAGACCAGCATGGGCGGCAGCGCGGGCGGCTGGGCACTGGGCGGATCGACAGGCGGGTTGGCGGGGGCGGGCAAGGCGGCGGCGATGGGGGAGTGATCTTCTTCGGAGAGGTAGACCGTGCGACGGGTACCGACCGTGCCGAGACTGAGGGCAGGGGTGGGTTCTTGCGGGGCGGTTGGGTCATCTGATGGGAGTAGATGCATTCAATTTTAGGTTTCTTGATTGGATATAGGGGGAGAGTGAGGAATATTCGGCTATATTTCAAAAAAAGTGTTGATATTTGTGGATTAATATATTTGAGACCATAGTGGAAGGAGAAGATGGTGTGCTCAACAGAAAACTCTCATTGTTATTATTTGTTTTCATGATTGATGTCTCGAACTTCAGATATTATATAAGTACTAAAATTGAATGAAATAATTTCGAAATGCCTACTTGTTTCGTTTCTGGTTATGGAAATTCCAACTGACATACAAAAGGCACAGATATTGAATTTTTCTGCTTTTCCAAGAATGGAGACCTGATAAAACGATGGGAGCTTGCTGCCGACAGAATATAAACTCAAATTATGGTACCTATCTTTTATTCCTTACATCCTCATTCCAAAGTATTCACCTATCATATTATCATCACATTCATATTACAGCACGTATTTCTTCAGAACATTTCCATGCAAAATGTTCCCAAACAAGTGCGAAAGTACGGTTCTTGAATTACACACCTCCAAAAAATCACAAATATTTGAAACAAGATGCCATCCCTATAGAACATCTTCCGAATATATAGTCAGAAATAATTGAAAATGAATTCAAAACTCTTAATTTCTCACAAAATATAAATTGCAGCAAAAATTTTAATAACAAAACGGCAAAAATTGATACTCCTGTTGTCGATGTCGGAGCAAAAGCAACGTCAACGTCGTTAACTGCTGAATTTTAATCGGTCAGAATCGACACAGTAGTGGATCATTCAGATGGGATTGGCAATGCATGATAATTCGTATGTATTTGCTATTTGCGATTGCGAATTACCTCAAGATCACAATTTCCAGAATCAATGAAATAGTAAAATCGAAGGAATAGCTACCTGTTTATATAAATTGAATTATTTTTAAACAGATCGAGAAACTTATAGAAATTTAAATGAACATGATTGAATTCATTCCGCACGCCCATGGCAACGATATCTGTCTGTGACTGCAGCTGATATTGGTATCCCAGATGACGTCACATAATATGCGCGTAGGCACACCATCTTCTCCTTCCACTATGATTTGAGACCCAATTTTTTTTACCAGGCTACTGTCTATACAGGGTGTCTGTAAAAGATTGGGACATGGCTCGGCTGTGGACTCCTGGGATAAAAACAAGTTGATTTAGTCCAACTTACCTATATCCAAATTCGTCTCGTTGAATTGGTACAAGGCGTTGAAGTTTTCTTGGGAAATAATAATTTTGCTCAGAAAAAGAGTAGGCTGAGATCGATTTTCATAATTTTTGGTATGGCATGTTCTGTGACTGCAGGTCACCTTATGAGATGGTTCTGATCATCATCAGTGACCTGAAAGTGTTTCAAACAACCATGTTGCCGTACTAATTTGGTGATAACTTTTAAGAGGTCAGACTGGAAACTTTCAGTTTTTTCTTCCAGAAAGATATTTCCTTCAGAAATATTTTTTGTATCGTGTTAATTCTTGATAAGTCCCGAGGTTCATTTGCAAATAAATAATATCTGATCTGAGGCATCTTATGCATTTTTGTATAGTTGTATAGTTCCAGAACACAATTGACCAGTCAATTAGTTCAATGTGTCGTTTATTTTTTTTTTTCGATCACATTTAAAGAAATATGTAAATGTAATGCCGAATGTATACCACTTGAATTCTAACTTCTCTACTTGACAGTTAAATCATTGAAATTATAATTAAAGTTGTATATTGTTGATGTTCTAGCAGTGCCTGTCTGTGAGGGTGTGTGAAGTTTTGCCACAATATCCGAGGCATCTACTTCAGAAACATCATTCACTGCTGGGAATAGAAAAATCTGACTGGAACCCTTTCTTCCCATGAATTTTACTGTGTAGAGAGGATATTCCATTTTTTCAATACGACCTATGCAATATAGACATAAAAAGACGAATGCACCCTTTGGCCGAATGTACCCCATTTCCGCCTACTCAATTCATGCGCATTCCATTATTTTCATTGAAATTTGATATACCAAAATGGTATATGAAGGGTATTGCCAAAAGGTTTGGTTTGACAACACCAATAATTAACGTTTTTTTTTAAGGGGTTTCCCGTGCCCTTATGAAAGCGCTACATAATGAAAATATCAATAAAATTGATGGGGCAAGCAGCCAGTACGTGTTTAAATCTAAACTAATTTGGTTAGAAAACACTGAACAGAATGTCAAATACGTAGGCAAGACGTTGACATAAGTCAAAGTCAATGTCAAGGGATAAAACATGAAATCCCGACCATGAGCATAGGCATGTAACAATAATAGCTAATACAAATACTTAAAGAATGCGGCGGTAGAAGGAGGGATGCATATAGGGGAGAGTTGAGCAAACTTGAAAACCATTGACTTTGGAATACCATGGAATAAGAGTTGAGACCAAGGTAGGTAAGCTAACAGCGATGAAAATCCAAAGTATTGAAAAATTTAATACAGTCTAAATGTGTTCGTTCATTAAGATACAAGACGGAATTATTATTTGAGAGTCATTTTGGAAAATCATGTAGATTTTTCAATGATCTTAACATGAATGAACACTGAAATATTAAGATTTATCCTAACAAAATTTTGCTGGTTTAGGAGATACAGAGTGTTCTAAGCGAAGATTTCTTCTTAAATAATTCAATAACTTTGTTATAAGTTTTGACGGCATGAGCATGACATTTTGTATTATCAGGTTTTCTGACATGAGAATTTTGAACTTATTTTGTGATCATAGAGGGCGCTAGTGGCACTCTGTTACTTTGGTAAATTACACATATTTTTGTCCATTGAATGATATCAAAATAAGTGAAAAATCTGAAAGCCCGTTCAATTTTACATAAAAATTGTACTATTTTTCAAAATGTCTAGCTCTAACGGTTTCTGCGTTATTCTCACATAAAGAGATTTATGTTTCAGTTATAACACTTTGATGAAATCAAATTATAAAGTTAGCGAACTGACAGTGGAAAAACAGACGTGATCAATGATGACAATCACGAACAACACCACAAACAGAATATCGAAGTGAATGTTCGTCCAAAGCGAGAAGAATAATAACATGAAATCATTCTTTGAACACTGTATCTGCAACATTTCTATAAGGCATGTTGGGTTATATCTTGATGTGTTGGTGTTAGCTATCTGTAGTTCAGATATTTCCCATTCTAGATGAATTACCCTGTATATACAGAAGGGAAATATATTTTCCGCCTGGAAAAAGGGACAACTTTCTTTTGAAATTTAACCTAACTTAGCATAATATAGAGAATGACAGGGGACATGGAAATTAATATATTTATTTCGAACCTTGAATGATTTCGACGAATACCATTGAATGGCACCCACAGAAAAAATGTAGGCATAAGTGTTTGGGATCACACGTTAAAAGGTAAGGCCCCCGTCATTCCTTGCTCGCACAAGACTTTCGAAGACTTTTGAGGGTTGCTCGTAAGGGGGCAACCGAATGACGGATAGAACAAATTTTAGAACAAATCAGACGAAATCCAAGGTGAGACTCGTTTTCCCCCCTAAAGTTCTACACTGTAGCAATTCTGACGTCACATCTGTACAAATTTCCGTGCGGAAGGCAAATTCACGCGGACTTCAATCATTCAAATTGCTTTGAGGTGACGTATTTGTTTTTTTTTCGATTTTTATTCAATTTCAAAGATCACATTTCTCGTTGATTAGAAGAATGAAGAAAAATCTGATATCATGGGAATATATGTTAGCGTAAATCTGATTGATTTATTGAATATATGAACTTATTTCTAAAACACCTCGTATAGATAAGAAAATGAAAGAAAATATCCTTGAATTTCTTTTCACTCCACTCGGTATAACTACTATCGATATCGGAATTAGTCATACTTGTTCGGGAATTAATCGGTTGAAAGAATGACGTAACTGATAAGTCATCTTGATGATGAATCAAACAAATGAACAGTCTCGTTCCAGACTTCATTGCGTATGGTCGATACAAGTGATAATAAAAACAGAACTCGAAGTATCTAAGAGTGGAAAATTGGAATTTATATTTGGCTTAGTGATTGTATTTTTATTTGAGTGTGTGAAAGTTGTATTTTCCCAAGATGGTGAGTGTTTTTGTATAATATGCATGGTGTTTAGAAATTCGACCGGCAACGCTTGACAGGTGATATCCCTTGTCATTTCATAATGGGCTACACAGATGTGACAAATTTGACATTCTGTTTCCACCGTTTGAAAGCTTCATTACTTTTTTTCAAAATGTCTAGCTCTAACGGTTTCTGCGTTATTCGCTCCTAAAGAGATTTATGTCTCACTTATAACACTTTTATAAAATTAAATTATAAAGTTAGCGAACTAACAGTGGAAAACAGACGTGATCAATGATGGCAATCACGAACATCGCCAACAACAAACAGAATATCGAAGTAAATGTTCGACCAAAGCAAGAAAAATAATAAAATGAAATCATTCTTTGAACACTCTGTATCTGCAACATTTCTATAAGGCATGTTGGGTTGAATTTTGATATGTTGGTGTTTACTATCTGTAGTTCAGAGATTTCCTATTCTAAATGAATTACCCTGTATACACAGAAATATCCTATCAGCTCAAAAAAGGAGACAACTTTTTTTTTTATTTAACCTTACTCAGCCTAATATACAGAGTGACAGGTGAGATGGAAATAAATATAGATATTCCAAACCTTGAATGATTTCGATGAATACTATTTGATAGCATCCACAAAAAAATTTAGGGATCAGACAAAATCCAAGGTGGGACTCTTTTTCCCCCCAATGTTCTACACTGTAGCAATTCTGACGTCAAATCTGTACAAATTTCCGTGCGGAAGGCACATTCACGCGGAGTTCAATCATTCAAATTGCTATGAGGTGACGTATTTGTTTTTTTTTCGATTTTTATTAAATTTCAAAGATCACATTTCTCGTTAATTAGAAGAATGAACAAAAATCTGATATGATAGGAATATATGTTAGCTTATATCTGATTGATTTATTGAATATATGAACTTATTTCAAAAACACCTCGTATAGATAAGAAAATGAAAGAAAATATCCTTGAATTTTTTTTACTCCACTCGGTATAACTACTATCGATATCGGAATTAGTCATACTTGCTCGGGAATTAATCGGTTGAAAGAATGACGTAACTGATAAGTCATCTTGATGATGAATCAAACAAATGAACAGTCTCGTTCTAGACTTCATTGCGTATGGTCGATACAAGTGATAATAAAAAAAGAACTCGAAGTATCTAAGAGTGGAAAATTGGAATTCATATTTGGCTTAGTGATTGTATTTTTATTTGAGTGTGTGAAAGTTGTATTTTTCCAAGATGGTAAGTGTTTTTGTATAATATGCATGGTGTTCAGAAATTCGACCGACAACGGTTGACAGGTGATATCCGTTGTCATTTCATAATGGGCGAGTGGACTGATAATGCATTATTGGCATTCAATCACTCAACTGTGTCGTTAATTGATTTTTACAACACTTCTCACGCTTTTTATATAAATAATGAGTCTATGCGTTGTTCAAAATTGTTGAATTTCAGACCTCATTTCAAACGTACCGTCATCGCCGCCATTTGGCGATACGTCCATTAACTGGTAATGTAATGGTAATGTTTCGTTATTGGTCAGATAATCTTCCATTCCCACTCATGAAGCAAGATTGTCAGGTCATCAATTATAATCAAGTTATCAGAAAGATGGAGTCCTGTCGTTGAATAAAACATAATTTGAGGAATCCATGATATTTTAGTTCATTCTTGACTTTTTAGAGCAACCAGCATGTCCAAATATTTTTTATACTCCATAACAAAATATAATTTGAATGTTGGAGACTTGGTAAAATTGTTCTGAATGCTGAGAACTGACAAGGCACCACCCACAATTCGTGCGCCGTGTTGTCACGTTTACTTGTCCAAATGTCATCTAATCATACTAGATATCGAAAATTATTAACGAGAAGTTTACTAGAATTGAAAACTACGTTTATATATTTAATTACATCTTTCTATGACAAAAATAATGTTTCATTGTATTTTAAAATTTCTGATCTAAACTGCTCCACATTTGAAGTGGGACAAGCGAATATTTTGTTAGTTCTCGAACCGTAATAACGAGAGCCCGAAGCGCTACCATAGTGCCACATCACTAGATGAAATTGTTTACGAGTTTAAAGTTTGGTAAGCGGCGACATTCCCATAAGATGCCAGCTTTATGAATGACACTGTATATAATTTCTTCATCAGATGACGGTCGAAATTTGCAGTCGGCTCTTGAACTATAAGAATCACTATAATCATCACCTGCTATGCTATTCCGATGTGAGGCCACCTCTCTGTACGACGACCTCCTCGAAACTACTTCCTCCCTATTTTTGTGCCCATGCAGGCTGCCCCCACCTCCGCCCGCGCTCCTTTTGAACGGCTCCTCTAAACTGTTGTCCGAAGCGTTGCCGTTCGACTCGCCCGATCCGTCGTTCAGTAGGGTGATCTGCGATCTGGTCATCCTAGCGGTGTCTTCGTGCCAGGATCTGCGGTTCTGGAAAAGGGAGTCGATAGATAAACAAAATATAAAGGGACACCGCAGTTTTATAGGGAAAATTGGCCTCTTGTCGAATTGGCTGAATTTTTTATATCTGATAGTCCAAGACATTGTGAACAAAATGTCCGAATACCAAACTGTTCTAATGGCTAGCTTTGGCGCTAGAGGCCGCTGAAGTCTCAATGCTGTTTTTTTTTTCTGCTGATAAATTTTTCGATTTGAGCTATCATTATGGATATAAATCAACTCTATATATACAATTTACTGATTCATATTTTCAAAAATAAAAAGGACATTCAGTTCAAAACATATATCTATGACATAAGAAATAAAAATAACATAACATTGAAATATAAAACAAACAAGTCATTCGGACGTAGAAATTATACATCTTTAATTCCTTACCTATATAATATAAATAAAAAACTGGATATTAAACTCCCCTAAAAATTATTTTATTTCTTTAATTAACATTTAATAATATCATTAGATAAATTTTAATAATAATTGTGAATAAGTATGTATGAATATAAATAATTATGCGTATTGAATGAAATGCTCAGTACACTATATATTATGATTTGAATACTTGTCTCATTTCTTAATGAGACAATTTTTCCTTGTGATAATTTGATATTGCTAAATATTTATTGACCTATGTACATTTATTTATTTTTTATCCTTACTACAAGGTTAACTTCGTAAGGTTCTTCCCAGTTTATTCAAATTACCTATATGTTTATTCCAATGTATATTTTGTAAACGTTTTTTAATAAACTTATATTATTATTATTATATTATTTTTTAATAGGATAAATCACTACAAGAAGTTTTCTCCAATATTTTTGCTGTTAGTCAAGAATTATACAGTGTGTTCCAGCAATTATAGGAGAGATAAAATATGATACTATCCAATAATTCAATAAAAAAGAATATTGTCACATGTCGCATTCCAATTATGAAACAGTTTCTCCAATGAAAACATTTATTTTCATTATCATTATTACTATTATAAGTATAATTATTATTATTTCATGTTCACCTAGTATATAAAGAGGAGATATACAACGTTATTAACTCGTTCTATAACATTAGCAGATATTATCAGTAATATCAGTATTCATTTGCATCTTTAGATGAGTATTCCTTGTATCTTCGTCAAAAAATTCTGATTATACCGTGTATTGTTTTTTCAAATGCATGTCAATATATTTCAGATATCCAGCCCTCGAAAATCGTAGTATTCTTTCAAAAATCATCAATTGACCATCCTAAGTTGATGAGGCAGGATCGCAGATATTGAATAGTCTGTGAACTTTGTAACTTGTGCTAATTTATTGATGCTATATATACGAACTGTTTTAGTAGGGAAAACGCAAAATAACATTCCTTCTCAAACTTGGACAAAATGAATATTAAAATATTTTTTTGATTCGAATATCATTCAGCTGCTGTTATATGGAACGGGTTGATATCTTAGTGTATATTCTCGTTATTCAAAGGGAGAACATGGAATTCGAATGAACGTATTTTGTAATTGAAATAGGACATTTCTCGATTTCTCATTTCTCGATATCCTTTCCTATGAAATTAATGAATATCATTATTGTCTTGAACAATAATAGCTGGAACACATTGTATAATTGTTGACCAGTAGTAACAATATTGATGAATACTTCTAGTAGTGACTTATCCTATTAAAATAAAATATAATAATCGCTCAAAGAGCATTATTCATCAGGAGAAAAGAAATCAAGATTGAGACTTCAGCGGCCTCTAGCGCCAAAATAAGCCATTAGAACGGTTTGGTATTTGGACATTTTGTTCAGAATGTCTTGAACTATAAAATAGTATCAAAAATTCAGCCAATTCGACAGGAGGCCAATTTTCCCTATACAACGTGCGGTGTCCATTAAATCTCAGAATTAAAAATGAATCTTTGGAACATACTAATGAGAAAAAGTATCTTGGGATTTGGTTTGATGATAAATTACAGTGGGACAAACATATAAATGTTTTGTTGAAAAAAATATCTCCTATTATTGGAGCCGTGAGAAGATGTCCCAAGCTGGATAAAAAAGTGACAAAGTATTTATTGCACAGAAGAAAATCATTAGATGCATAATGGGTGTTCGAAACAGTCAGTTCTTACTTTACCACCTTTCTATATATATCTTTTGACTTCGAATATAAAAGAAGAGCAAGATATGTACATACATCAAAAGTAATGAAATTCACCATCACCATACTCGCAATAAGAATGACCTTCGTTTACCATTTTCAAGGATTACTGTTGGACAGAATTCTCCTATATATCAAGGAATATTATGTTTCAATCATTTTAACAATATTTTTGGTGAGATAAAAAATGTCAATACTTTCGAAACAATATTCAATTATTTATATAAAATGCATTTTATTCCGTTGAAGAGTATCTCACTTCCAAATGATTGAATAATTCTATTTGCATATATGTTTGTGTGAGAGTGAGTGCAAATGTATGAACAATGTTTTGTTTTGTGAATGGGGAGAGAATGGAACTTGACTAGTCTGATAAGTTTATAAGTATAAATAAAATGCGAGGTAATAGCTGTGGTAATAGCACGTAATAGTGCCGCGTAGCTAGCTAGGCGCGGGAAGCGTTGCAGCACAGGAAAAAGCAAAACAATAATAATTATCATTGGTAGGTAAATAGCCGATAACCTTAGTTGGCAATTCAAGACGATTCAAGTAATAATTAGAATGATGGAACTCACCCTACTTGGAACTTTATTAATTATATCTGAGCCTGCTTTTCTTACTCGACGAACTAGGGTAGCTCCAAATCCTTTCCTGAAAAACAAATCGCGTTAGCAAAAAATAGGAATACTTCAGTGAATATTTGACAACAAACTACAACAACTTTTCTAGCTAATGCCAAGCAGAACAATGAATAATATCCCGAAATCTATCAACGTTTTATATGAACAAATGCCGATTACAAGTGTTTCTTTGCCTAATGCCGAATTGTTTTCAAATTGTAAAGAGGTAACGCTTGATATCCAGTTTCGCGGTAATGCAGTCCGAAGACCACCATCTGAAGCAAAACCTGTCCCAATGAAAACCCAAATCGGCATTCATCTACTCAAAAACTCTTGACACATTGAATATCTCCTAATTACTTTTTGGCAGACGCATTGTCCAACTTCCTATAGTGTTCCATGATTTTCTCTTCCAATTTCTCCTTCTGCCTACAAAGATTATTCACTTTGTCCGTATATTGCTTCTCCTCGGTATGGTAGTGCTGTTTGTCTTCCAGCGAATGGGTGAGCAGAGAATGGTATTGGGAAAGGAGCTGGGAGACGTGTTCCATCAGCGCCCTTCTGTCAGAATCTAGAGAATGGTTCATCTCAAACAGCATCTGAAAACAGTTTAAAACATTTTTTTTTTAGAATGAAAAACAATCAATAGTATGAATCACAATTTGGCATGATTTAGGTAGGTGTGATTCAAGTTCCTCAATGGATTTGACGTTTTTGTATATGTAGGCGGCGTTAAAGGTTACTCAGAGTATTGAAAATGAATATTCTAAGATATATTATTAACGTGAAAAACAAAAAGGGGTACATATACTGAAACACATTGAGAATCCGCATTCTCTATCTGATAAAAATATTATTAATCGGTATATTCAAGAGAAAATAACTACTTTCCTGGCTATATGCCACGACGAACATTCAATTACACAGATAAATGCCCTATGTCATGCCAAAACAAGTATGAAACGTAATAACTTCAAAAAACAGAAATTTTAACATTACATTATTTACGTGACAAGTGGAATATAGATATTATTAACGCATGCATGAGACGATTGCACGAGGAAGCCGTAGGCTGAGTCGTGTAATCACATGAGTGCGTTGACAATATAGTATTCCACGCGTTGCGTACAAAATTTTATCTACAACTGTCAAAAAATGATTGACACTTTTTTGAATGTCATAATGAAGTTAATTACCACACTAGGCTTTTTTTAATCTATTACCGCACCAGTGCGTTAACGAGATAAGAAATAAATTTCAACCAAAATAAATCGTTTATTAAATGAATACAAAAAATTCAAATAACACTTGTCGTCGCATTTTCAATTATCGGATGGTAGATCATCTTCACTTGAAGACATTTTCACTCAAGAAACCTAATGATGGTTCTGGATATCGATCTGACAATCTAATTTAACATCTATAAACGGCTTTGTTTATACCTACTGTTGCTACGGTTACATCAAAGGCAACATGTGTTTTCAATTATCAGAAAACTATCATGAGTAGGTACGTCGAAGTGGAATATCAATGAGGTATATTCATGGATAGTTATGAAAACGTTGACAGTTGTAGATGAATTATATTATATACCTATATATTTTTTTCTGAAAGAGAATGAAAATTCTTCAGAAGATTTTGTTTTTTGATTCTTATTGTGTGTGTTCAATAGATGTAGAATAGAATATTACAATATTCAACAGAAACCAACTACTTTCCTGGCAATTTGCCCCGTCGAACATTGAATAATTGTTGAACACCCAATGAGGGCTGATATTTTCAGTCTCTCCACATAAACTGATATTTTTTAAATGGAACACTCTGTATTGTATTTTTCCAATCCCTGAGCTCTCTCTTCTGTTTTCAAATATATAGTTATTTGAGGTTTTCTTTGTCAGTTTACGAAAAATATAGATGTTTTCCTATAAATCTAAGGCAGCTGTAAAACGTCAGACGACAATGCTGCGATTTCTGTCGTTCAACATTACCTATCTTGGATTTATATGGAAAAAATATGAAACATAATTTTTTCAATGTTCTGGTTCCCACGAAAAGGGATATCCTGTAATGTTCAGAGAACATCCTGAGAACCAAAGGAAATGAGGTAGGAATTGGTGTTCTTCTTGAATTTCTGGAGGTTATATGCCTCGGGGAACACCTCCTTTGGCAATGTGTTCCAGTGCCTCGCTGTTCGTTGGATGAACCAGTCTTTGGAAAGAGATGTTCTGCAGGTCTCCAAAGTGACCATGAAGGAGTGTGAAGCCTCAACTCGACGGGTTAATCTCGCGGGGACTGCCAAGGGAGGAACAATTGTTGATATCTCAGAAGCGCATCGTCCATGAAAATATCTATAAAATGAAGCCAGATCGCCAACTTTTCTACGGTGTTCCAGAGAAGTGAGTGAGTTTGTGAGGGAGGCATCACTCAAGAGACGAATTGCCATTTTTTGGACAGAATCCAACAGTTTCAAGGTATGTTTGGGTGCTGCACTCCAAATATAGGAACAGTATTCCAGGACAGGTCGGATCTGTGCCTTATAGATCAAAAGCAGCTGACTGGAAGTGAAATAGCTCCTGGCCCGAAACAAAAAACCAAGTTTTTGGGTTTTAGCAATTGATCTCACGTGATTTTCCCAAAAAAGGTTATTGCTGATAGTAAAACCAAGCATCGAAATGGATGTCTTCAAAGGTATGGATACTCCTGACAAGCTTATGTTGGGCACAGTGATATCGACTTTTCTAGAGAAAAGGCATGCTTGTGTTTTTTTTGCATTGAAATCTACCAAGTTATTGGATCCCCATTCAAGAATTGTTGCCAAGTCCATATTTATGTTGTCAACATTTCTCCCTCGTTCGTTTCTGATTTGCCTGGCTGATATTGGAGCTTTGGAAGAGAAGGCGGTATGGAGGGTACTATCATCCGCGAAGCTGTGTACTGGACATGAAGTTGCTTCCAACAAATCGTTGATATGGAGAAGAAATAGTATCGGTGCTAGCATTGATCCTTGCGGAACACCAGCATTTATGATAAGAGAGTCAGATGAAACTCCGTCCACCACTACATGGAGAGACCTGTTTGAGAGAAAACTAGCTAGCAGAGAAAATAGCTGGGGATGCAAGCCATAAGAAGGAAGCTTGGCGAAGAGTCCGTTGTGCCAGACTCGATCGAATGCCTTAGAGATATCAAGTGCCACGGCTAAGGTTTTCACCATATTTTTCAATAGATTGCTGCCATATATGTGAGACATAAGCGAGCAGGTCACCACTTGATCTCTGATGACGGAAGCCATATTGCCTATCGTTGATAATACCTTAATGTTCCAGGTATTTCATAAGCTCGATGTTGATAACTTTCTCCATGATCTTTGAAATAATAGATAGCAGTGCGATCGGTCTGTATAGTTGCTAGTTAGGGTCTTTTTGCCTTTTTTAGGAACTGGTTGTACTCTTGCAATTTTCAAGATGGACGGGAATATCCCCAATTTTCAAGAGTAGTTGAAGAACTTGCAGAAAATAGGTTAGTTCGGGAGCACATTTCTTGAGAACTATCGTTGGAATTCCGTCGGAGCCACAAGCTTTGTTGGTGTTGAGACTAAATAAAATCTTCCTTATAGAACATTGGTGAAAAGTGATCTCGGGCATGTGACTGTCAATTGGCGTTATGTTTGGAGGTTGTTTTCCCCATGAATCCAGAGTGGAATTTTCAGCAAATAAATGCGCAAAAATGTTGGCTTCCTCCTGGGAAGTTGTGGCTAGTGTCCCATGTTCCTTGGTTAGAGGAGGAAACGAGCTGGCTTTGGCGAATGACCAAAATGAAAGAGATCCGTTAGGACAATCAACAAAACCTGACAAAGGTAACCTAGATAAAGTATAAATATTTGGAATCAGAAGATAGATACCGATTAGGAAAATAAAAATACAGGGTGCTTCATTGAAAAATACCAGTTCATGTGAAATGTTTGGATTTAGGATGCTTTTTGCATATCCTAGTACTGAATTTCTAACACCCATGAAAAATGCTTCACATTTACCTATTTAAACGTTTTCGTAAGACCTATATTAAGTGAAATTGCTATTGACTTGAGAATAAAAAATCACCTTGTACATACAGTTTCTCATGACTTACATCACATTTTTGCTGAAGTTTAGCATTCTCCAGCTGGAAACTCGCCACCCTGTCCGACCTCAGGTTCAATTCGCCTTGCATCTCCGTCCGCCCTAACCTAAGATTCCTCGACTCCGTCCTCAAGGTTTTCAGCTCCTCTTGCACGGATCTGTGAAAGTGATGTTGCAACGATTAACATAGATGAATAGATACTTTTTTGTACGCCCTATCTATTTTGAATTGTTTACAACAGTATGTTGGGTTTCCTGGTAAGTAAATCCTCTTTTCGTTCAGCTAACGATGAGTGGATTCATACGAACATCTACCAGAAATGATAATAACAATAATAATAATAATAATTATTATAATAATAATAGCGTTTATTGCTCAACAGTTACCCATATACAGGACAAATTATTCGAAAGAAAGTTCAAAGTGTAGTTACAAACATTTTGATGAATAATATACAAACAAGAACATTCAAATATAGATGAAGAAAAGAGAAAACAGAAATAGAAGAATGGAAATAACACAATCTATAGTGTTGCGTAACGAATCAGTCGATCAGTATTGAACACTTAAAAATCGCGCCTTATCAATCAGCACTGAGATGACCGCTTTCGCGCACCCCCACCTTGGTACATATGAATACCGGTCTAATTAGTGTGGAAAGGTACTGCGACATTGCTTTTACGAACTTGAGAAAAGCCGCACTCTATTGTTTCTATAACATAGTGAAAACCGCTATCTTCAACTTGTTATGCCTGTGATTGTTCGGGTTATACAGTGAAAAGCGCATTTCTTATATGCGTTTTCGGACACATGTTCTATTGCGAGACCGTAGGTCTGTGGAAGGATAATATACTGTGATTCAGTAATGATGAAGAATACTAACTTAGTGAACGACACTTCAATGCTACATCACTATTGTCGAATAATTCAATTGAACATTGACAATGAACATTCATGTATAACCCCCATAAAAATATGCTTCTGCTGATGATGGAATATTGATACTCCGAAAAATGTTCAGATACTGATTATTCAGTTAATAAATTTGTGGAGATGACTTGGTGTATCTTTCTTATGAATCTATTCACTCCACTTTGAGATACCATGGACTTTTACCATATATTATTCATATATAAGACTGTTTCTGGCTGGTTCTGGCAGTGTTCACAGGGAAACCACAATAAGAGGTAGATAAATCCATTTCATGTGGACCAACGGAACCAAAATGTACTTTCAATAATTCAACCAATTGATTGACAAGAGAATTTTTCTGGCATTTCTGATGACAAGAAGGTCGCACCAACTCTCTTTTTCTATTCCACTGCTCTGTGCTGGAATCGAACTTTATGGAAGAACCATTTATAAGACTATAGTCTAATTTGCTAACGGAGGAGCCGCCGAAATTAAACCGAACGACAGCAGTGATGCCAAGTGATGCACGTTTGTTTATTGTTGATTATTGTTAGTGGTACTTTTATTCTCGATGACTTTTATGTTTTGACCTCCGAAGTGGCCTCCTTCCTTCTTTCTTATGCAGAAGGTGTAATGAAGTGTTTTGACCAGCTTCATCACTAGACTGGTTTTGATCAAAATCTAAGTACCTGAGCCTGATTCTAGTTGAATTTCACCTGTTCGAAAGCTCGAAACCTGGAAACCTGAGTAATGCATTGATTCCTGACTTCACAAAGCTTTTCCTGATAGTAAACTCTCATGAACATCATTACAACCCTAAAGACTTCCATATTTTTCAACCCTTTAAAAAAAAGTGTTTAAAAGTGTTTTAACCGCCAGCTTAGTTGCAAAGCAACCCTCGAAAGTCAGAGACTTGTGTGAGTTAAGAAGTTATGATATATGAAATTTGATTGAATTATTTATCAGTTGAAATGATGAATGTTTGACTGCTCATAACTCTGTTGTTATTGAATATTTTCCAGCCAAATTCATTCAGTAGCATAAGCAAAGGTAGTAGATCCTGTTCCTGTGCCCATTTAGGGTTGAATATTATTTTTTCCGCGTTTTGTGTTGGAGGTGCACATGTGTTTTTCAGGGACAGATTTAGTGGCCATGGCCATGAGCCATGACAAGGTGGGAGTTTTGACCAATGAGATTCCAGATTCACTTGTCCTTGTGCCAAGGCCAAAGCAGTGCATAAATACTGAAGACAGCCAAGGATTCGGATCACTCTCTAAGCTCTTCTCTACAAGTCTACACTACCTGATCTCCGTTGCTCTTCAAGCTCCTGATACTCTTGCTGATCTCTTAGTGCTCTTATAGTTCATTCAAAACCAGTGTAAAGTAGTATTGTATAGTGATTTCCGGTTACACATGTAAGTTTGTATATTTTTCACCAGTGTTATTCATCCTGTTCATAGATCCATTTCATTCCTGTTGTTTTACATACCGATACTCACCCGACCTGTGTAAAGAATCCAGAACTCTAAATTGAATAAACAGATTTTGAGATTGCATATTTCATATTTCCTTCTCTGTTGTCATTGTTTTCAGTTTCCAATAGTTCAATGATTTATTTAGTGATTTTCAATATTTTCATTTGTCAAATTTCTGATTATTATTATTGACTGACGGCTGACACTGACAAGCCAGTGGTCAACTCTTCTTCTTCTTTTCCTTGAGAAATCCAGTCCTGTGCACCGGTGTCTCTGTGCTTTGTGTCCCGTCAGGCGGTGTTCTATGTTTCATGAACTATTGACATTAATGGAAAAATATAATTATTAGGAAATCGAAGGAAAAGGAAAGATAAATAGAAATTGAATCTGTTTAATTCGTTTGGAACTGTGTTTCCGATTCTCCAGGTGGAAATGATGAAATAGTTGAGTAAATAATTTTCCAGACCTAACCTCAAAATACCAAGGACCTGAGAGATATTTTGCTTTGATTCCTGTAATCATCCAGACCAGAAATAGCAACCAGTATTCCAGGCTAGACCCAGGGTTTGTAATTAAAGCCTACACTCCCGAGGCTACTTATTGATTCCAGGTCGGTTCAATACCATTGACCCCTGGATTATACTGTGGGTACCGAGGTAGGTATACCTCCTGTACCTTTCTCCACTGTTGCTACTTTGGGCCTCCTTCCCGACTAAGTTGGGAGGAGCAGGTGAAGTAAATCACCTTTATCAAAAATCTGGCGCTCGAGAATCCCCCCCTGTCAAATACCAGAGTAGTCTCCTGTCCTGAACAGAGCGTCAAAGTAAGGGTAGCAGAATAAAGACCCCTTACAAAGGGATATTTCGTTCGGTCGCGCCTGATGCGTGATCCGATTTCAACACGAATTCGACTAAAGCGCTCTCGTTGTCATTCTCGCGTATGAAGTGAATTCATATACCCAAACGGTCTAGTGGTTAGCGCTGTCGAATCTGTCTGAAGGTCCATGGTTCGAGTCGCTGTGAACCTGAACTTTTTTCACCACTTTTTTTTTTCACCGATGCTTTTTCACTTCATTCTGGGTTTCCTTCCTCAGAAAATATTCGAAGTCGAATAGGTTAGTTCTTTTAGGATGAAAAGTCACATTTTTAAATTTCCAAACATAGAAAGTTATCGACAGGTTAGGTTAGGTGATTGGGAAGGGTAGTCTCCTTTTTAATGGTTATGCAGATAATATATTTTCCTTCCTCATATTCGATTTCAGTGCTGTTTTCAATCAGGAAATTTCGTGTAGACTTGATTCCACGAATTATTGACTCATTTGGCATCACTGTCAATTTCCATCAAGGGACTCTACGTTCGGGTAATTTCGACGGCTCCTCTGTTAGCAAGTTAGGCGTTAGACTCTACACCTTTTTCAATTGTAATTCAGAAAGTGTAACTTGTAATTCAGATTAGTGAAATGTAAGTTGAAAAGTGTAATTTGTAATTCAGAATAATTAATTGTAATTCAGAAAGCGTCAATTGTAATTCAGATTAGTCAATTGTAATTCAGAATGCATAACATGTAATTCAGATTAGTGAAATGTAATTCAGAAAGTGTAACTTGTAATTCAGAATAGTCAATTGTAATTCATAAAGCGTAATTTGTAATTCAGAAAGCATCACTTGTAATTCATAAATACTATGGACTTGAATAAGGGTAGGGAATAGAAATCAACGAATGGTTCATTGTGTGGTGAACATCAATATTTTATATTATCGAAAAACGGGCATATCTTGAAATGCCAGAGTTGCAGCATGTTGAAAGGTGGTGTGTTGTATCTACAGCCCTAGCACAATCCCCTCCAACAATTGTGTCTTTGGCCTGGTCAATATTCTGTTCCACATAGATAAACAAGTCGTTGTTCTCCAACAACCGGATCTCAAGGAGAATGGATGCATACCGGTTGTTCCTAGTTTCTGAATCATAAGTGATACTTTCTGAATTACAAGTTATGCTTTCTGAATTACAATTGACGGTTTCTGAATTACATTTCACTATTCTGAATTACAAGTTACACTTTCTGAATAACATTTCACTAATCTGAATTACATATAACGCTTTCTGAATTACAATTAACTAATCTGAATTTCAAGTTATACTTTCTGAATTACAATCAACTATTCTGAATTACAACTTATACTTTCTGAATTACATATTATACTTTCTGAATTACAATTGAAAAAGGTGTAGTCTTGTAAGTACAGGGTGAACAACTAAGAACGGCTATCATATCTATCAGTCTTCCAACTTTGATAGTTGATATCTTCCGTTGGCGAAATACTATCATGCTGCGATTTTCGTTGGTCTGTTGAGATTTAGTTTCTCTATTACATCGTGCAATGATATGCATACCATTAGAATATTTCTATCTCAAACTTGTATCATTATTCGTTGCTGAGATATGGCAGACAGCCGTTTTTAGTTGTTCACCCAGTATTGCTCTGTGCTAGTGCGCTCTGTAAATCGGCGAGTGAAAAACGCTATGAATTTATCGCTACTGACCTGTACTCTTGCTTCAGCCGTTCGCTGGCCGTGAACAGATTCTTAAAGTCGCTCTTGTAACTTCAACTCAATTTCTCCACAGTGCGTTAAGAAGAAGAAGGGTCAAAGAGTAACATTGGTTTTCACAGAAACTAATATTTATGCCAACATTCCAGAACACGAATCAACGATTTGATGGAAATTTCACTCGTTAAGCGTTCTTGTTCTGTGCTCTGATAATATCTTGCTCGTATCTTGGTACCCAAGATGAACCACACGTGAATCATTTGATCACCAACGCTCTTTCCAAACTTTTTGCATCCCATCTGTAACCATTGAATTTTGAATTTTGAGATGAATCATGCTCATATAAGGCAACATTTTAACTAATATTATTCAATTTGTTATTCAAATCTTCCATTCGGTTTTTCGAATGCAAAAGTTTTTCATAGTATTGTTCATCGAAACTATGAATTTTGCTCAAAATTGCCTGGATATTTGCTTGTTCGGAAGATATTTCTGATTTTGTTTCAAATCTGAAATAAATTTTAGGTAATAGTTCTGAATTTTGCTAACTCTGACTTTCGTATCACTCTCTTCCACTCGTTAACACTGAATTTTTGAATATTCCTGCTCTAAAAATTCGATTCTCAAGTTTTTTCGTTTCAAAATATGTTAATAAATTTCATTACCTGCAAGTTTTTCGTTTCTTGTTGGTTCTAAATTGGAATGAGGTTCTTTTCGATACTCGCTCAGTTTATAAATTGATCCTATTCTTCAACATCAAATCTCCCGTTCTGAAGTGTACCTGACAGAAATGCGTTGAAAAATTCTACCAAAAAATTTGAATACCTCGCAAAATTCGTGGCCTGAACCTATATTTTATGCCGGCCGCATCATATTCTGTTTCCATTTTTGTAGAATCACGTGATCTGCTGAAAATTCGAATAGAGTGAATTGATTCCCCGTGTTCTCACAGTTGGAAACAGCACTTGCATCAATTCTCTCAATTTGTCAAACCTTTGAAATTTATGTCATGTACGTCCGTGTACTGTCAGTTCCTGCTTTTTCTATCAATTTATTTGTGGTTATGTCTGATTATCAGTGCTCGTCATAGTGTCCGTACTCTAATATACAAAAAACGTCAAAACAGCAGTTTCAAGTACATTTAGGAACTCTAGATAAATCCATTTCATGTGGACCAACGGAACCAAATGTACTTTCAATAATCCAACTCTTTGATTAATTACACTGACATTTCTGATGACAAGAAAGTCGCATTAACTCTCTTTTTCTATTCCACTGCTCTGTGCAATGAAAGAACCGAGCCAGTGAGTGCCACTTGTACTTGCTCTGTGCTAGAGTCACTGGATGGTATTAGTTTGATAAGAGTTCGGACACAGAAATGACAACGGTTAGGGTTTTTGAATGTTTAGATTTATAAAGTTACACGCCTTGCATTGTGACAAGAGCACCATAGTCGTCCCGCGCTTTTTCATTCAAAAATTCTTCGAATTTGACAATTAATTTTATAAACGTCAGAATTGAAATAAAATTTCACAATTATTATACTTTCGAGATGAAAGCAGCTATGGAAATCACTTGCTGTGTAATAAATTGTGTCAATTCTGAAACAAATGGATATCATTTATTCGATTTTCCGAATCAAATATAATAAATGGAGGGAAGATATGGAACGGCCTGGGTGGAAAATCAATTTGAAGACGAGCGAAATTTGTGAGGTACTCATTGAAATTCACTTCTTATAACATCGTCTGATTAGAATGAATCTATATTTTAGGCCCATTTTCAAACAAAAGATTTCAAAATCTGATTGAGAGAATCTGCTGTTCCATCAATTTACAAAGCAGACGATTTCAAGAACAAAATTCCATTACTATCATCACACAAAATACAAAACAAAATAATCATGGAAAAAGGAGAAATGATGGCAAAATTACATTATGAAATTGAAAATTTGAAAACGAAACTAAGAAAAGCAAGTAAACTACAACGTGATATATTATTGAATGGCGTTTTTGGTGCTGACCGAATTCAACATTCAACAGTGAAAAGTAAATAGATATTTATGTATAAGGGCCTTAATTACGCTGGAGGTATCGTTTTGGAGATATTTTCTATATTGATCCATGTTACTTAGCTCCTAGGGCGCTAAGTGAAGTTACTGAGAACTTCACAAAACCAAGTATTTGGTAGGTCTCGTCAAAATAAATCACCTTTTTCCTATGAAATCTTTATCAAAAAATGATTTGTTCTCTGTATTTCAACACCCTGTATCTCCAAAATGAAGCATTTCCGGAAACCAGCTTATATGGACTTAATTTCTTAAAATTGTCTCAGGAATACTTCACTGGAGTACAGTTTCACATACAATAAGGAGTTATAGCTTTAAGTTTTTCCATATGTATATATTCTCTGATATTAAAATGTTATTACATGCATTTTTTTCATTTTTATATAATAGTTGCTCTTCTAGAAGTGTATCACTATGAATTGAAGTGGGTGTTTGTACCCTATATCCATTGTCCATCTACGGCTATGATTGATTTGACAGAAAATATAACCTCTAAAATCGTATCTGACAATCAGGCGCTACTAGGGAAATTGAAAAGACGAAGAGCAGAATATATGTCTTATTCTTTTATTCACTTAAACCATTGTATTATAGAAAATAGAAAAGGACAAAAGTTCAGCTGTGTCCGAACTCTTATCAAACTAATACCATCCAGTGACTCTAGTCGCACCAACTCTCTTTTTCTATTTCATTGCTCTGTACTGGAACCGCACTTTATGGAAGAACCGAGCCAGTGCCACTTGTAAGTACAGGGTGAACAACTAAGAACGGCTATCATATCTATCATTCTTCCAACTTTGATAGTTAATATCTTCCGTTGGCGAGAAGCTATCATGCTGCAGTTTTCGTTGGTCTGTTGACATTCAGTTCCTCAATTACATCGTGTAATGATATGCACTATTAGATTCATTCTATCTCAAACATGTATCATTTAGTTGTTCACCCAGTACTTGCTTTGTGCTAGTGCGCTCTGTAAATCGGCGAGTGGAAAACGCTATGAATTTATCGCTACTGACCTGTACTCTTGCTTCAGCCGTTCGCTGGCCGTGAACAGGTTCCTAAAGTCGTCCTTCAACTTCGAGTGTTCCGCTCTCAGATTACCGAGACTCTTCGCGTCGCTTTTCAGCGCGTCCTTTTCGGCTTCGACGTCGGCGATCCTCGTTTCGAGCGTGCCGTTCGTCTCTTTGAGCGTCCGTATTTCCGATCGAAGGTCGCGCGCTACTTTTTTCAGGGTTTCCTGTTCCCGCTTGGCTTCTTCGTATTCCGAGTTCAGTTGTTCGTGTAACGTTCTCAGGGTTACTTGGTCCAGTAATAGGGTGTCGTGTTGGGTGTTCTGGATTTGTTGTTTTTTCACTAACTGGAAAGAGAAGGAGATGTGTCCAAACGAACAATATCAAACGAAAATATTTTTCATGTGTGTCACCACCATACAGTCTGTCCAAGATAAGGTTGAACAGCATAGGGATCTCGAAAACGGTAGGAGATACGAAGTCAGTTAAATGGGGAAAAAGATCCGCATTCGGAGGCTCATATCGAGAGCCTTCGGAAATTTTTAAAATTATTTTTAGTTTTTGAGTTATATCGAAAAAAGTGAATTTTTGGAATATCTATTTTATTTTTTTTTCTCCGTCATTATTAGAGATACAGAAAAACTGAAAAGACTTTTTCATAGCAACTTTTGATGACGTTTAACGTGGTGATACCGATTTTCTAATGCGACGTTTCGTATTCGTAGGACCATAATCAACTTTTGTTTTTCAAATACGGTCCTGATAATTTTTTCACAGATTCTGAAAGGTTTTCTTATTTTGAATTCAACCATGTATTATACAAGGTGGTTTATGTGTGTTTCGACCTATTTTTAGCCATCATCAATGTTTTTTCGAAATTCCAATGGAAAAATGCCATCAGTTATTTTGGAGGAAAATTAGTAAACACACTAATACCTTATCAACTGGTTTCGATCAACAACCAATTTCATTTTGCGGAAACAAAAATTCCATCGAAACAAATTCAGAATATGTCAGACGATGACGAAAAGCGCAAGACATTCTGTGAGTGGTATACCAGGAAATGACAAAATTTGGCAGATTTCCCTCGAACAATCATCTGGACTGATGAAAGCATGGTCACTAATCATGGTACTTCGATAGAAAATATACACATTATTGTTCACGAGAAAATGAACATTTATACATTACAGCGATACACCAACACCGTTTCGGCTTCAATATGTGGGTGGCAATATTTGGTAAACGAATAATTGGTCCTTTTAGTTACCATGAAACACAAACTTCCGAACGTTACAGAAATTTGCTTGAGAATCATCTTGAGGAAGCTCTGGATGATTGACCGATTGCGGAAGTTCAGAACTGTCGGTTTCAACAAGATGGCGCTCCGGTACATAATTCCAGAGAAGTCCGTGCCTTTTTATCCAGAAAAATGGATTGGTACTCATTCTACAGTCCCTTGGCCGGCGCGGTCGCCCGATTAGACACAGCTGGATTTTTTCTTAGGGGATATATCAAAAACTTCGTATACGCAAATAACTTTGATGATGAAGAAGAACTAAGGGACAGTGTCTTCGAAGCATTCAATAAAATAACCCCAGAAATGCTTAGTAATGTCTTAGAAGCAACTGTGAGAAGTGGATATAACTCAAAAACTAGAAATAATTTTGAAAATTTTCGAAGGCTCTTGATATGAGCCTCTGAATGCGCAACTTTTTCCCCATTTGAACGACTTCGTATCTCCTACTGTTTTCGAGATCCCCATGCTGTTTAACCTTATCATGGACAGACTGTATACTGAGACTAGAATGCTGATTCCCATCAAGTTTCACAGCGAAAAACGTGTCGCATATGCAACTTATTTCATGATGTGCGCATGCTCAGTTTTAGGTTCCTTGAACATTGCCATCTTTTCAGAAAAGTCATTGATGAAACAATTTTAAACAAGATTAGTCTAGATATTTCACATGTTTTGCAGGGAATAGTGAACGTACATGAATACTGTGCCACTATTTTGTATTTGGACTGTTCACAATTTGAATACGATGAAAAAGTCAATTGATTACTATCAGGTGAATTCGGCAATCTTGACACTTATTCCTGACGACATTCATGACTTACAGAGACGGTTTTGATTTTGTTTGAGTTTCCATAATACTTTTTTGATAAGGATTTGTCAGATTTTCTACATCGTTCTTTTGCTGAATAGAAGCCAACATTTTTGTTAGTTTTTGTACATGTGTGTTTGAAAGCTGATGAGTTTTAGAAGTGCTTGTGATCGCAGCTGGCAGGAGTATTCTTTTTGTAGGTACAATCTTAATGAGCATAAACAATGAGTTTAGAGCGCTGGAGTTAATCGTTAGGAGCGCACGAAAGGAAATCCCTATAATGTTCAAAGAACATCGTGCGTTCCTAGGGAGGATAGGGACAGAAGGTAGGTATTGTATTTTTTTTAACTTAAACTTCAACTTTTTTTAAACTTTATATGTTGTTGGGAATACTTCCTCAGGCAATGGATTCCAGAGCCTAGCCGTTCTATGGATGAAGGAGTTTTGATAAAGTGCTGCTAGACATCTTTCGTATTCTGATATGAAATTCAATGTTTGAGAATAAGTGAATTAATCAATAAAACCATCAAATATTAAAAACGAATCAATAGAAATGTTGAACAGATAATTTCATTATACAAATAGAACTACAATTACATTCATGTCAAGACAAAGTCTAACACTGAATGAAAACCTTCAATAATAGTAATAGGTAATAGTATCTTGATTATCTAACGAAAAATGTGTATTCTTGATACTATACAGTCATGACGACCGATATTTTGTCGTCCTAGTATCATGGCCTACCACATGTTTCTACTCTTTTTTTGCTGCAAAAGTTTCAATATGTTGTATAAAATGCACCTCATAAAATGGAAACCCCACTTAACTATTTCATTTTCAGAGATATGAAAAAATGTTAAAGAAAAAGTCGTGTCAAACGACCCCAACTTTTATTTCGTGAATTTGTTTCATATACAGGGTCATTCGTTTATCCAGAAAGGACATCAACTTGGATTTTTTCAATGGAACACCCTATATATTTCACGACATGTTGATAGAACCTCATTTTCTGATTTCGAAAATATAAATGAGATGCATATTTGAATAAAAAATAGATGAGTTATTGATGATCAAAATTTACCATAATACCGCATTATGAACCTCCACTCATCATCTAATGTAAGTTGAATATAGTAGGCATTGAAATAACGTTTATATAATGTTCAAGCTCTATGGAAATGTCATTGTATTGTTTAATATCAAATTGAAATCGTTCAATCTCAATGCAAAAAAATATGAATAGACAGTTTCAATGGAAGATTCGGTATTTCGATAAACTTTGATAATCAATAACTCAATTATTTTACATCCAAATATGCAACCCATATATATTTTTGAAATCAGAAAAAAATTCTCTATCGACATATCAAAAAAAATATAGGGTGTTCCATTGTAAAAATCAAAGTTAATGTCCTTTCCGGAAAAACGAATGACCCTGTATATGAAGCAACTTCACGAAATGAAAGTTTGAGTCGTTTTGAACAACTTTTAAGTTCAACATTTTTTCACATCTCTGAAAACAAGAGTTAAGGGGGGTTCAATTTCAAGAGGCGCACCCTGTACTCTATTCAATGGAATAAAAAACAAATATGGCGTCCATCAGAAAAACAAACGTTGCATGGTAAATCGCTGAAAATAATGAAGAATTTTTGTAAGAATTACAACTTCTTTGTCCTGATCGATTACCTGGTCACACACAATTTCTGCCTTCAATATTACCAAGAAAAGAAGAGAAGTCAGTGGTTTTCAGTTTTTTCAAAAATGACATTTTTCCAAATTGCAAAACGTCATATTAAAGAGGTTCCGATAACGAAACTTTTGTCTAATTTAATTAACTTCATATTCCTTTCTGTTTAGGAAATAACAATACTACTGGATCAGCGGGACCCTGTCATATTAATATTCAGTCTCAGACTTACCTCATCTTTTTCGACAACCAGTTGGCTATTTGCCAACTGTAAAGCCGTCTGCTGCGTTTGCAACGAATTCACTTGCGATTTCAACGTGGCTATATCAACTTTCAAGGTAGCATTTTCGTTCTGCAAGATATCATTAGATATCTGCAAGTTGGAGATCTCGGCCAACAACTTTTCGTTCTGGATATTTTTCTCTTCATCGATATTCGACGAGCCGACGTTCTGCAAACTTTCGTTCTCTCCGATATGCTCTTTCACAATAGGAGTGACAATTTTCAAAATTTCACTGTTATCGAGCATCTTCTCTATCACGAACGTGACGTCATTTTCGAGAATCTCCACGTTCAATCCCAATTTGTCCAAGTTGCTTTTGAATTTTTCCCCGGTGACTTTTTCGGTGATCAAATCTTTCTGGAGGGTGGAAATCGTTTCTGAATTGATGGAAGCACGTGAGATGAGCTCCTGGGATTTTTTCTCTATGTCCTGGAGCCTCTCGATTTGGCTAGACAAGTTCAGGTTTTTATCGTTCAGTCTTTGTATCTCCTTCTCTTGTTTGCAACTTTTTTCTACAGCTTGATCCACGATTACGTCTTTAGCCTAAAAAAAATTCAATGTCACGGAATGTTAGACACAACATTTTCAAATTATCTAAAACCTATCTATTATTCCTTAATTTATTCTAAAATTCAACACTGTCAATCAGATGAGTTCTCAACCACCGATCTCAACTCTGAATTATAAGAATTCCGAATATCTTCATGAAAATGGGAAGTTCGATTTTCATAGCATTGCTAATAGTGATTTAGAACGTATTGTTAGTAAAATAGAATCAAACGCAACTGGCACTGATCAAATCTCCATTAGAATGATAGAAATTTGTATTCCTTTTTGAACACCGATTCTAACTTATAATGTTAATTTATGTCTGAGCGAAAGTAACTTTACAGAAATCTGGAAAAAGGCTTTGATATTTGCAATCAATATAATTCCCAAGCCATCAACTTTGAATAATTCCCAAGCCATCAACTTTGAATGATCTGAGACCACTCAACATTTTACCAGCCATATCAAAAATAGTTAAAGAAGTTGCTCCGACACAATGAATCATGCCTTATGAATCTCCAAGTTGCATCATTATGGCTTCTCACAGAATTCAATTCAATTCATTCAGTCCTTTTTAACTGATAGAAAACAATGTGTACAAGTGAAAAACATAATATCCAATTATGTACATATATTTCATGGTGCTTCACAAGGGTCTGTTCTTTTCCCTCTGCTTTTCATTTTCTACACAGCCGATTTCAATAAAGTATTTCTGAACTTTCAAATGCACGCATATGCTGACGATACGAATCTTTATTATTCAGCGAAAGTTGATCAACTCTTAATCCAAGAAGCCGAACTCAATGAAGAAATAGAAGGCTTGGTTTTAATCTCAAATAAACACTGTCAGAATATCAACGCTGCTAAATCAACTTTAATAGTTTTCGGTAGTAAGAAGGATCAACAGAAAGTAACTGAAAATCTGCGGATAAAAGTCGAAAACCATACAATTGATTACTGCAACAAAATTGAATGCTTGGGTCTATTGATCGATACTAACTTGAAATTCACAAATCATGTGATCAGTTAAATACTGTCTGTAGGTTAATCGACGAGGTGGTAGATTCGTTTTTCCAGATTTTTTAGGATTTTCTCTCCTCCTGCTTATCTAACAATGAAAAATCTTTATGCTAGTAGACACTTTCTCGGCAGACCCCTGTAAAAAATATTATGTGACTCTCTAGTCTTGTCTATTATTGTGACATAGTCTAAGGTCCATGCCTCGATTCAATTTTTGGTCTGAATTATAGGGAACATGTGTCTCCTTACATTAACCAAGTTGAATGGCTAAAAATGCATAATAGAGGAGAGCTACACTTTGCAATATTCATTAACAAATTATTATCAAAGCAAACGCCTTGACCTGAATACATTTCTACATCGACGTGAGGTTCACATGATAAATCTCCGTAACATCGAAGCATTAACTATGCACATACGTAGAACTACCTTCTTTGAGCGGTCCTCTACTCATCAGGCCGAAACCTAACATAATTCTATTAGTCAAGATCTGGAACGTTTGAAGAAAAAACTCAAACAGTCACTTCTGGATGAGCATCAGCGAAATACATAATGAAATACACTAGTACTCATATTACTTATATACACTTAATTTAAAGTTATTAGAATCTTGTTTATGAACCTTTAAATTACTATATCTAAATTGCATACCAACTTTGTAAACAAACCTTGGTTGAGTGGAAAACTATGCTAAACTCCGCTAAGTAAAATAAAGGCTATTTATTATTATATTTGAAATCTGTTTGGGGTACGGCTAGTTTATCAATTATAAAGCAACTTAGAATCCTTCAGAATGAAGTTGTCGAATGAATATGTAAATTGAATTATTTGGAACCAACAAGAAACCTTTATAAACCAAATGAAATATTAGATCTTTAATCAATATAAAAATTTCAAATATTGACATTTATTCATTCAGTCAAACACAATTATAAATATTCCAATTTGAATTTCAAAATTAATGCTAGTATACATTCACATTCAAATAGACAAACAGACATGGTTTCCCTCATTAAAATCAAATCTGAATTTGGTGAGAGATCTATATATTACAATGGATTATTTACAATGGATTGCCAACTAGACCAGTGCCAAAAAATTTAAGAAAGAACTTGAAAAATATTTATTTGTCTGAATTTTGTTCTGTTCGCGCATAAACGAATTTTTCTATATAATATTTTTCTATTTAATCATTCAATAAATTTTTCGCGCTAAAATCACACACAGGTGCTTTCCTTGCTTTTGGGAACGCACGCAGGTGAAGACACCAAGAAATAGGTGGTCATGCGCAAGCAGAGACAATTAAGAATGGCTAACAATCATTGTAGCCAGTTTACGCTGTGAAATTTCCATTCAAAATTCGCTACACTGTTTTACCACTAACCAAACCGATTTTTTAACGCCTCGACACGTGTTTCGCTAACTATGTTAGCATCTTCAGGAAAAGATTAAAACTTTTTCAAGTTTAAAACTTTTTTAATCTTCTCCTGAAGATGCTAACATAGTTAGCGAAACACGTGTCGAGGCGTTAAAAAATCGGTTTGGTTAGTGGTAAAACAGTGTAGTGTATTATCGTGCCAAAGGTTCCAGTCTTCGATATATTCAAAATTCGATTTAAGTTCAAGTACTTTCGCCAGTGAAATTGTGAAACAGACTTTCCTTATGGGTTGGTGATTGGAATGACAGTCCAGTAACAGGGTACCTACCCTGCGGCGATTACAACAACAGCCGGTGAGTGCACCCTTAGCATTTATAAGGCATTTTGTGTGTGCGACAACCTAGGATGAATTATTAATCAAAGGATTACATCATATTCAATTCTGAAAAGTATCAAGGTCAACGTGTAAAATATAACATACAGTCCATTTTTCTTTTCCATTTTCGTATATGCGCTGACATCATCCATATTGAGATCATAAAACATATCAATTATTATTTTAATCATTTATTCACTCAAACAAGGATCTGCTCAATCTCTGAGAATTACTAGAATAATTATTATACCTATACCTACTATATTTTGAATGTACTGTAATACATTATGGTTTATTTTTTAATGTTCCCTGTTATAAACATATATGTCAATTCTTTCTTGGGAATAATGAAGATGATGATAATGATGATGATGATATAAGAAATGACTTACTTCTATTGTTTTTTTCAATTTGGTTATCTCCTTGGACATCGTGGTGTTTTCTTTTTCTAAAACCGAAACTTTCTCTGTCATGCTGTTTGCAGTCTTTTCGAATTCCTTAACTTTGCCCGCCTGCGCCTGCAAGGTAGCAAGTTGTTCCGAAATGTCTGATAGAGACTTTTCGGAATCATCTGCCCGTTTCTTGATGGTGTCGCACAAAGTCTGAATCCTCTGTTTCTCTTTGGTAACGTGCTCAATATTATTCTCTAGTTCATTCAATCTCGTCCTTTCGTTGTGTAACTCACTGTTATGTCTATCCAAGATAACCTAGAACAGAGAATTGATACTTTTTCTTTCTTTTAGATCACAAATCGTTTGATTGTGCTTGACAATAAAGAATAGAGAGTTATAATAAACCATGAAATGTCAAGGATAGTAGATAGTGAAATTGGAGAACCCCAAGGTTATGTTTTAGGACCTTTATTATTTATTACATTTTTCAGGTCAAAATATGACCGATATACAGACCGTTGAAGTTTCAAGATTTTTTTCATTCCATTTATTTGTTTATTTCAGTTATTGCCTTACATTTTTTCTTCATTTATATATACAGGGTGGCATTGAAATAAGTGCAAATATTTCGAACACTGAGAAAGCTCGACGTGTACTATCGAATGGCATTAATAAAAAAAAATTAGATCAAAATGAAATTTGAGGTTAGACCCCTTTTTCCACCCAAAGTTCTACACTGTAGCAAATCTGATGTCACCTCTGTTCAAATTTTCATGCGATAGGCATAATCACGCGGAGTTCAATCATTTAAATTGTTTTAAAGTGGGCTACTTGATTTTTTTCTCGTTCTCGTTAATTAGAAGAATTAGAAAAAATTTGATATCATGGAAATATTCCTTAGACTGTATCATACTGATGTGCTGAATTAATGCACTTATTTCAAAAACACCTTGTATATAGGGTGATTCAAAATTGGATGAAAATTTAGCATAATAGGGATTCTCTTTCGTGCCCTCCAAGCGATTAAAAAAAAATTTCAAGGACATATTGGTGGGCTCAAAATAAGACTTTTTCTTTATATCAACATGTGTTCTAAAATTCACCCCCTCCAAGCTGCAGCCACTGTAACTTAGGTAAAGAAAAAAGATACTCAAAAATTATGTAAACACAGTTTTGGGAAAGGTACGAGGGGGGGTTCTCACTTTTATTCGCCAAAATGGGGTGCCTTTTAGGACAGAAGTTTATATGAAGAAAAATTCATATTTTGATCCCAATAAAACGTCCTTGAAATATTTACATCGAATTTTGCATCACCTGTATATAAAGTATAATCAATTTTCTATTAGGACATGGATGATCAGACAGTAATTCCTGGTATAATTCATGAAGTATTATCGACTGTTGGTATAATTAACATTACAAATAGTGAACAGAAAGAGAGAGAAAAAAAAACAGTGGAGAAAAAAACAGAAATTCATCTTCTCTCAGCTTTGAACATTTTTTAATGGAAGCTATTCTAATAATTTGATTTATGCAACTGTGAGGAATAGTTTTAGGTTGACTGAAATTTTGTAGGCACAATAAAAGGACTATTATGCATAAACACATTACATACCTCACGATATTTGGAGTACTGCAGATTGAAAATTTGATATAACTTTTTCTGAGTATGCCACTGAACACTATCTCATTCAATACCTAACTTCCAGCTCTTCTAAATGTCTGTGATATTTCTATTGGTTCACAAGTCAATTGACCAAATGTAATTTGAAGCATACCTGATACTCTTCAGAATTATTTAATTATAGTAGGTTCCTACGAAATCATCATATGAAATAATCACTCATATCAATTATATTCAATATGTGGCGTGGCACACATTTCTTCACGAATTCGGAAGACAGTATTTTGCATGAAAATAAAAATTAGCCCTGTAGGATCTCAACGGAGCATTTTGGTATAGTATCATTTTGAACAGAACTTTCAGGGATATCCTGTATAGTAACACAACAATAATTCATGGTTTACTGTATGTTAAGAGTGATAGGTAGGATGGGTCAATCTCCTTATATCATGGTGTTTTCATATTATATTCTGTTTGATCACTTGACAGAAATTCATCTACCTAGTAAAATCTTTTTTTCTGTAGAAGCACTGTTAGCTAATTTAAATTCAGTGGAGATGAGCTTTTTTAATGATTCTGGAACTTTATTATATAAATTCAGCTTGGTTGAGTTTTTTGATAAGATATCAAGACGAAATCTAAGATTGGCGAGCTGGGAGTTATTTATGGCGGAAAAGCTGTGTTTTGTGCTATCGTCTTCACCTACCTAATTTTGATGACAATTCAATTCATGTAAAAAGAAGCCCACAAGCCGCTTGATTTTGTCATTATGACAGCGAAAAAAGTTTGCCCTAACTTTTCCAGCGACAATAACGGAACCAAACTTTTGAAAGCATGACAACCAGTCATAAACAAATGTTTGATGAATTAAATTGTCTTACCGAATTACACTCTAGCTTTTCATTTGTCGACGTAAACTTGACATTCATAATTCGAATTTTGTTGCCATTAGATAATTCAACTCAAAAAACTGCCTCCGAAAAAATTACGAGTCCGTAGGATACATGTCAAGTTTACTTACTTGTAGCGACGATAAAAATTTTTGAACTGATGTATCATATAGGATACGCCTGAACCGAAGAGATTATAGCAGTAGACATTGGATATGGTTATGTCGTATTTCAACCAAACAGTAATACACATACAGGGCAGCAAGATGACCCACCTTCTGAGTGTCGATGGAATCTTGCAACTTCCTATTCTCCTGTATGGCGTTCTTGAACAGACTCTCCAATTCGGCGTTCTGTCGCGTCAACCTGTCGCAGCTCTCCTGCAGCTGCTCGCACCTCAGCGCCGATTTCTTCTTCTCCTTCTCCAACTCCGAGATCTTGGTGGCGCTCTCGTGGAAGCTGCTCTCTTTGAGGTTATCGATAGCGGACAGCAGTCGCTTGTTCTCCAATTCTAACCTTAAGGTATACACGGTGAGTCATTGAGAATGGGCAATCTTCAAACTACAGATACTTAAAGAAAAAACAAAATAGCACTAATTCGGTCGACCACAAAGTTTTTATGTTGACGAAAGACTCATACTCCGCCATATTGGATCCGCAATTGAAATTCCTAATATTGCCGAAAGCATCATATTCTCCAATTCCGAAAACCCCCAGATACAAATTTTGAATATAATCGGATCATAATTAAAAAATCCGTCTACCATATTGTATCTGCCATCTTGAATTTCGGAATTTTGACCGATAAGAACCATCAAATGGCACATATGGATGCGACATTGGAATTTAAAACGTACAGGGCAAGATGGACACGTTTGGTGGTGCTTTTTTTTAATTACTCGCGTATTTAATAAGATATTAATCTCAAAATTGGTACATTACTTCAGCACAAAGAGTTACATCGTCTGAGGAAAACGAAACAGAAAGTACCTGTCAAATATTCAAAATACTGAGGGTCAAGTACACACTTACTCCCATTTTTTTTTGAACGTGCGTTAATGACTTCCTATCTATTTTTCTTCAAGTGCTCAATCATTTTTGAGTATTTTTCGTCTCTTGTAAAATTTCGATAAAATTAATTGTTTTTAAGATAATTCGAAAAGTACTGGTTATTGTTCGATGCCTATGCGGCTTACGGTAATCTCATAATGATCACATACTCCTATTTATTTCGTCGAAATTGGAAGAGGGCGTAACTTTAATGTATTAAAATAATTTTTACAAAAAAAAATTATAGAAATTCAATACGTTTAAATGAATTGCTCGATATGACCTCTAATTTTTTGAATACACATGCAAGCTCTTTCGATTTAAGAAAATCTTAGCCTTTGAAAAATATGTGGCTTCAACCTGAAGTGCTCCCGAGCTTGAAAGAGTCTGTCTCTTAAATGATTCTCGCTCATAATCGGATAATAATAATAATAAAAATAAAAATTTTATAGACATTTTACAAGAGATGAAAAATACTTGAAAATGATTGAACACTTGAAAAAAACAAGGTTGGAAGTCATTAGCGCACGTACAAAAAAAATATGGGAGTGTGTACTTGACCCCCAGTATTTTGAATATTTGACAGTTATTTTCTGTTTTGTTCTCCTCACACGATGTAACTCTATGTGCTGAAGTAATGTACCAATTTTGAGATTAATATCACATTAAATACGCGAGTAATTAAAAAACAAAACAAATTTTAATTTCCAACTTTGACACCCTGTATATCGAATATGAAGGGCTATAAATGTGAATTGGTATCTAGAAACTCATATTGTTTTTGTTCTAGAAATATATGGTTAATACACACACTGGCACAATTAGGGGAACGGGCAAAATTTACACTAAGTTTGATGTCACAATTTTCTTTCGAACCGATCGCTCGATTCAAATTTTTTTCTTCACGAATTGTAGCTTCATTCTTCACGAATACATCTAAGAAATAATTAACTTCAAACGATGAGTATTTCTATCATATATAGGGGTGTAAAGAAAGTACGGATTTTTCGGTATTTTTTGAGACATCCTGTGGACTGAACCACTGATAATTGGAACGATTTCTCAACTTCAAATTGGAGCCCAATCTATTCCGAATATTTTCGTTTTTTATTCATCTTGATACCTCAATTATTCAAGAAAATACAGAGTTTCAAAGGAAAGGTGGATATTGGTTTCAATTTTACCACCTCGAAACTCAAATTGGATCTGGAAAACTGTCGTTTCTTGACTAACCTAACCATGACTACACCTCTGCCATAAGAGACAGAAGCAGTAAAATCAAATTGTTCATTTTGTTCACCTCGGCGATATAGTCGTTTCCTGCCATCTATCGAATTGATGCAGATGAGACTCTCATATGTTAAAAGAACATTGGCCCACTGGTCATTTTCAATTAATGCTACAGCCCTCGCCACATCAGTAGGAGTCAAATCTCTCATGTTGAATTTTCATCAATCAAATTCATGAATTGTGAATCGCTTGACTTTGACAATAATTAATGACATGAACAAAATAGCCAACGTTGATTAATAAAAATAGCATTTCAACAAAAGAACATTGGAGCAACTTTTATCACCCCTCCATATTCATGAGAGTATTCGTATATGGGTCTTTGAACAGTAAACCGATAGGTAAAACTGTGAACAATTCTCATCTTGAAGTAAAAATCCTCACAGAAACCAGTTGAAAAACGTTCTCCCCAGTTCGAGTTTAGAGGTGGTAAAATTAATACCAATATCCAGCTCTTCTTTGAAACTCTGTATTTTCTTGGATAATTGGGATATCGAGATGAATAAAAAACGGAACTATTCGGGATAGATTGGGCTATAATTTGGTGTTGGAAAATCGTTTCAATTATCAGTGGTTCACTCCACAGGATGTCTTAAAGAATACCGAAAAATCCGTACTTTCTTTACACCCCTGTATATGATATAAAGATGAATCGTTTGGAGGTGGTTATTTCTCAGATGTATTCGTGAAGAATGGAGCTACAATTCGTGAAAAACAAATTTGAATCGAGTGATCGGTTCGAGAGAAAATTGATGTCAAACTTCCTCCTTTTAGCGGACACCCTGTATATGTCCGAAACATGTACCAACCAATTCTGATGTGTTAATTACGCTAAAAAATTTCGTGGGGATGACTTCGTGTTTCATTTAGTATTTACCTCACTTTCAGATTCACCCTGTATATTAGATTGATGAAAACACTTCCTAAAGAACCTTCGCCTTCTCGAAAGTCTCACCTCAAAGCGCGCGCCTGCGCATTGTTGGTCAGCTGCTCGGATAGGCTGTTGTCCCCGGAGTTCGGCTCTTCCGGATCGGAATCGGTGAACGCGGTGGACGAGCTGTTCTCTTGCAGGGCTGCCTTTGTGAGTTGCTGAAGTTGCAGGTTCTCTTCGAGGAGTTCTTGGATTTTGTCTTTGGTGGCGTCTCTCTCCTGGAATTCGGGAGGTTTCGTGAATGTGCAGATAGCTATGTTTTATGTACACAAGTATAATGAGTAATATTATAGGCCATGTTAGCCGCGTGGTTGAAGCGTTAGTATTCTATTCACGATGGATTGCCGGTTGGTCGGTTCGATTCCCACGAGTGCAGAATTTTTCTGATGGCCTAAGAAAGTGTCTGGGATCACACGTAAAAAGGTAAGGCCCCTGCAGCCGTATTCTCGACGAGTGAACTTTTGATGTGTGTACGTACTTCGAGAGTTTCGTACGTTTTGGTATTCTTGACCAGTGACATTTGAGGCATGTACGTTATCAAGGCGAGCGTTTACAGCGAGCGCATTATTTCACTCGTTTTGTATGTTTCCGTTCGTTTTGTTGACTTGTGACGTGTGTCATTGAATATTTTTATTGTTTATTTATATTGGAATACCATTTTGGACTCTAATAATGAATCGTTTTCGAGTTTCATATCATCTGAATAAATAGTAAATAACATCAAAACATAATGGAAGAGAAATTTGTACAGTTGATGTTGATTGACGTAATGGAAGATGTGGACCAAATAGATAGGCAAAGATACAGCAGCGTGGAAATCACTCTAATGCAAGATTTGGATATCTCCACAAAAGTTGGTTGGTACCCAACTATCACAGAGGTAATACACATTATACTATTCACTGTGTTAGTTTCTTAATGTTTTTTTTTTTGCAATGTGATTGGCTTTTATTCAAGTGATTCAATAAAAATTTTGTTTTATATATTCAACAAAAGACATAATTTTCCAGGGGTAATAAGCTGTCCATGGCTATGAACATCCTGAAAATATCTATGTAAATAAAAAAAACTATCATTTAATAAATGTACATTTAATTTGTGACTACCATTTGAAAACTGCTAATGTGAATTTGGTTTCCTGGTAATACAAATGATGCTTTTATATGGAATAGTTCAAATGTCCAAACAATGTTGAGGAGGTTACGTGAAGCTGGAAATACTGATTAATATACATCATCATTTCTTATTATTTATTGCTATATATTTATGTTTTTCTAATCTAATAAATCTCTATTTACTGGATTATTCTGTGACTATAATGACTGTGAATGAAGAATAGTATATTATGTACCTATTGATCAAATTATTCATTCCCACTTCATCTGTGAATAACTTTTAGATTGATTTGATTCAGTCAACACAGCATTTGCATTACAAAATATATCAAAAATATTTTAATCATCGCGCGGAATTTTTCACATATTCACAGAACGTTAATCAACGGACTATTTCATGACTTTCGTGAAATATTACAGTGGTGCCGGATGCTCTGATCGCATCACAATCATACGTTTTCAAGCGTATACGTTTTGCGAAGCGAATGTTCGTCAAGAATACCACTTCGAAAAAGTACTGGAACATGAACCATTCGTTTTGATGCGTATAAGTCGAAAAGATCACTTGTCGAGAATACGGCCCCTGTGGTCATTTCTTACTCGCACAAGTCCCTCGAACGTTGATTATTTTTTAATCAAAACAGTTCAGAATGGGGTGAAAACTGATGAATTTCAACCAATGAAACATACTTACTTACACTGAGTGGTAGGTAATAAGTAATTAATAAATGAACAAATGATATGGCGACAATAACAGCTGATTTCAGTTAGGATAAATAATAAAGGTTCTCCAAGACATACGGAAGTAGGTTGCATGGACTTCAGCTCTCAACTCACTATAGATCGCCGTTCACATTGCTAAAGGGGATTGTTGGTGTAAAAGATCAAATGAAACAAGATTAGCTTGTTCACACAAATGAGTTTTAATCAATTCCTGTCAAAACTGACATCCATCCTAGAATCAATACCGAATGTTCACAACACTGAACTTAAACTTTACACCCTTTTACTAATGGTAGAGTTGATGTAAGAGTATAAATTATTTGAACAAAGTATAGTCTTTAAGATGATCAGGTAGTTTAACAGTTCTGCCTGAACGTCTTACTACTTTTGGGCTAATATTGCTGTTGGCAACACATTCCTCATAATTATTCATTAAATTCGGTTTCTCTGATTCCTCTGATGACTTTTGAGGACATGGTAAAGTATTCTGATGAGAGATTTTATCTGTCTCTAATTCAATTTCATTTTTTAGATCATATCTTGCACTTGAATCCTGAACTTTATTTTGAGATAACTTTAACTCAATACGATTACGTCTTAATTCGTTACCTTCTGAGTCATTAATGATATATGATCTAGGAGCCACATGTTTTTTTTTCACTGTACCTGATTCCCATTCTGTATTCTTCCGGAATATAATGTCATCACCCTGTTCTAACTCTTTCAAATCCTTCGTTCCCTTTTTGTCATAATAAAATTTTTGTTCTTTCTGAATTTGTTCCAATTTGTTTTTAACCTCCCCATGATCGGTAATCTGTGGTTTTAATAAACTGTTGCTAACTGGTAACTTATCTTTCAAACGCCTATTATTCAAAAGTTGACTAGGTGATAAACCAATAGAAACAATAGGAGTATTTCTATACTCTAACAACGCTGAAAATAAATCTAGGCCTTTATTTAAGATTGATTTGGCTATGCTTACAGCTTTTTCTGCGAGTCCATTTGACTGGGGGTATGTAGGGCTTGACGTGATTGTCTTGAAACCCCAAGAATTAGCAAATTTCACAAATTCCAAGCTATTAAATGGAACATTGTCTGACATAAAAACATCAGGTATACCTTGTCTTGAAAAAATTTCTTTCAAAATGACTATGATTTCAGAAGCAGTTTTGTTTCTCAGAATTTTGAGTTCAAGCCATTTACTAAATGAGTCATAGACAACTAAGTAATCATTACCTTTGAAATACAAAATATCAGATGATATTCGCTCCCACGGCCTTCTTGGAACATCTGGTTGATTCAGAGGTTCTTTAATATTTTTTCTTGAATACTTTTCACAAGTTGTACACTTCTGAATCATATTTTTAATGTCTGTAGACATTCCTGGCCAATAGAGCAATTGTCTCGCCCTCATTTTAGTTTTATTTATACCAAAATGATTCTCATGCAGTAATTCAAGCATTTGTTTACGTAAGGTTGAAGGAACAATAATTTTGTCATTCAAAAAGAGCAAATTTTCACCTATGGAAATATCCCCATTAATTTTCCTGTAATGTTCTAATTTACTATTCAGTTTTTTATTTGGCCATTCATTAGACGTAAATTCATAAACTTGTTTTAAAATGTCATCCTTTTGAGTCTCAATTCTAAATTCTAGTTTTTTAGCTTCTGACATGGATAAGTATTTTGCTATTGAATGTACTATAAATTCCTCATTATTTTCAGCACCATCAGTGGTTTTCAAGTATGCTCTAGATAAGAAATCTGCTATATACATGAGCGATCCTTTCAGATATTCAACATGGAGTGAATATTTCAAAGTTTTCAGTCTAAGATTTTGTAATCTAGATGTTAGTTGATTTATGCTTTTCTTAAAGATTGACTCCAGTGGTTTATGATCCGTATTAATGGTGATTTCCCTACCGTAGATGTAGTAATGAAATTTTTGACAAGCGTACTGTATGGCCAGCATCTCTTTTTCAATTTGCGCCCAGCGTTTTTCTGAATCTGTAAGACTCCTTGAAATAAAGGCTACTGGTTGTCCGTTTTGCAAGAGACAAGCACCAAGTCCGGACTGGGATGCATCCGTTTGAATCACTATGGGGTCTTTGCTATTGAATAATTTTAATATTGGAACTTCTATAATCATTTTTTTAAGGTTATCACAAATTTGTTTATGACTGTCATTAAATCTGAACTGTATACCTTCTTTGAGCAATTCTCTAAGAGGAGATGTTGTTTGCGACAAATTCGGGATAAATTTTGTCAGGTATTTTACTAACCCTAAAAATCTTTGTAATGACTTTTTGTCAATTGGGTACTCAGCATTTATTATTGACTCTAAGTATTTATCGTCCATTCTAATGCCTTTTCCAGATATAGTATTACCACAATATTTAACCTCTGGTAATTTATACTGTAATTTATCTATGTTGAATTTACCTCCATTGTCCCTAGCGCGAGATAAAAAATTATGTAAATTCTTGTCATGATCAGTTTCATTGATACCGCCAACTATTATATCATCAAAATATATATGTACTCCTGGTAGATCACCAAAGATTTCAGCATTTTTCTTCTGAAAGACTTCTGGTGCACATGATATACCGAAAGGTAGCCTATTAAAGCGATAACGTCCAAAGGGAGTATTGAAGGTGCACAGATCAGCACTTTCTTCAGTTAATTTTAGATGCCAAAATCCGTCCTTCATATCGAAAACTGAAAAATAAGTCATACCAGATAAGTTAGCTATAATGTCTTCAGGCTTTGGTATCAAGTAAATTTCGCGTTTAACAGCCAAGTTTAGGTCTTTAGGATCCAAACATAATCTTAATTTACCATTTGTTTTTTTCAGTTATCATCAAATTATGAACCCATTTAGTTGGTTTATCTACTCGCGAAATGACATTTGTTTTCTCCAAATTATTCAAAACTGCTTTGAGTTTATCTACTAAGGATTGAGCCAATCTTCGTGGGGGATTTATAACTGGGATTGCTTCTGGATTCACATGAATATGATATAAACCTGGAAATTCACCTAGACCTCTAAAGACATCAGAATACTTTTTACAAAATTCTGGTAGTTTTTCTAATTCATATATGCGTTTGATTAAATTGAGTTTCAAACAGTCAGTCAATCCTAAAATGGGATCTGATAATACATCAACCAAGATAAAAGAAATAAGTGCAGTGTTTTGTCTACTCTGGCAATTCAGCTCAACAGACCCCATGCATTTTATTTTATTTTTGTTACCGAAACCAACCAGTGATATTTCTGAATGTTTGATTTGGGGTTTGTCCTGAATTTTAGTGAAACATTGCACAGGTAAACAACTCACTTCAGCACCACTATCAAGCTTAAATCTAATTTTGCTACCGTT